GGCTGCACTACCGCCGGATGATGGCCACTCAGTCGAAGCAGATGGACGAAGGCAGCAATGCTTCTTCTTAAAGGAAAGGACCAGAGAGACCAGTGATCTTTTCTACTCACTNTTTTGGCTACTACTCACTTGTAATAAGAATCTTCATTTGATTTGTGTGTGTTTATTGATTTTCGGACTTATTTACAACTCTAAGCTCTACCTGTTTTCGTCCTAATGCTTGGCAAAGGGCGACGTCTTCTTCGTGTCGATCTTGAAGTTCTTCGGATTGGTGCGACAGTCGAGGTAGGTGCTGCCCAGGTGGAAGCACTCCCGGTCCCGGTCCTCCTTGCTCTTCCCCTGAGAGCACTTCATGAAGTCGATCATGAAGTTCTTGCAGGGGTCCTTCGACTCCGGCGACAGATCAATGACCATCATGCCCGAGGTCATGGTGAAGTAAGCGGTGTTGAGGGAAGAGAGGATAATTGATGTTGATGGAAACCAAAATCTGGCCTTGTTGTTGTGGTTTGCCTGCTGTTTCTCATGTGCATCTCATATGCTATTGCAACCTCGTGGTGCTATGATTCTGCGCTGAAGTGAAAATGGGCAAATCGGGTGAAATCGAATTCGAACTTTTCTCGCGGTTTTTAGAACTTTTTGTTTGTGTGCAGTATACTAATGTCGTAGAAAAGGGCGTCATCAGTTAGCAGTTTGACCATTCTTTCCTCAGTGTTGGCAACTTTGTCATCTTTCAGCAACATCAGCTCACCTTTACCAGCGCCATGAGCTCACTGCCGCTCTTCAAAGACATTGGCAAGGAGGTGCGCGACCTCTTCGAGAAGAACTTCCACTTTGACATGGTGAAGATGGAGATGAAGAACATGGCCTCGGGCGCCTTCGAGTACCAGGGCAATCAGAAGTACAGCATCAAGGACGGGAAAATGGTGGGCGAGCTGGAGGCAAAGTACGAGACGAGCGGCTTCACGCTGGTCCCCAAGCTGACCACTGAATCGGCGTTGATCAACTGCGAGCTGAAGGTGAACCGACCGGAGCTGAAGGGCATCGACGTCACCGTGGCCGGCGCCTTCCACCCGCACACTATCACCAAGACGGCGCTCTCCTTTGGTGCCCTCTACCGCGGCCCGGACTACAACATCGAGGTGGGCAACAATATGCCCGCCGACGGCAAAGGAGGTGCCGCCCATCCACCGGCGCCGCCCGGTGGCCACGGACTGCGTGCCAATGGAGTGTTCAAGTAAGGGTGAAGTTTTTTGTTTGCCTCAACTGAGCTTTAAGCCAATCGCCCCCTTTATTTTCTGCACTTTTAGCCTTTACGGCTGGACGGTGGGCGCTTCTGGAAATCTCGACCCAAATGGAATGAAGCTCTCCAACTGCATTCTGGTGGGTGGCTTTAAAGAACAGGGTAAAACCTCAATCTTTGTAAACTGGTAAGTATGTGCTTTCCTTTTCTTCTGTCCATCTCATCTCTTTTGTGTCCCCCCCATCCAGTGACCCACATCAGAAGACGCTGTCTGGCACTGTGCACAACGTCATCAATGCAAACCTCCAGACGGGTCTCATCTTTGCGCTGGGCGGCGGTGGCGGCGGTGGTCCTAGCCTTCAGTGCTGCGCCAGCTACATCCTCAATGACGGCGCTTCAGTCAAGGTACCTCGCAAAAAATACTTTTTAGAGACAGATAAAAAGTCTTCTCTTGTTTCCACTTGCACAGACTCGCATCAACTCCGACTACCTCCTCGGCATGGCGTACACGCTGAAGCTAAAGCCAAACATTAGCGTCACCCTCTGCAGCGAGATTGACGCTCAGAAGCTGAAGCAAGGCGGCCACAAGATGGGCTTCGGAGTGGAGTTCTCCTGAGCCCCTTCGTCCCGGGGAAGAGGCCTACAAAGGCACTTCAAGCACTTGCCTCTTCACATTTTACCCAAATCTGGGCTTCTGTTAGTCATTCTTCCAATTTTTAAGCAGCCGGTGTAGTGCCACATTAAAGAAGTCACCACATTCCCAAGAATTTAAACTTGTGGTCAAACTTCAAGAGAATCATCATTCTTTTTTGCTGGCTGTAACGTCATCTGTGGTAAAGCGCAGGGTAGAGCAGCAGCAGAAGTAGCAGTAACGGTAGCGGCGCCAGAGGGCGAAGAAAAGTTCGGATGTTTTTTGCCAGCAAACGTAAACATCGCTGAGCGGATTTTCATTTACCTGATGACTCATTTTTTTCCATCCTCTTCTTTTATTTATGTTCCTCATAATCATCACCGATGCTCAACAGAAACAAAATCTAATTAACAGCAGACGCCGGATTTAACGTGGAACACTTCGAGCACCCACTGATCGTCTCCAGGCAAAACGCAGCGGTGGCGGCGGCACTGACACACTGACAGTCGAAACTCGGGCGCTCCACTTTCGTTTTTGGTATATAGCATTCGGCGAGGATTCCGCGTCTGTCTTCTTCTTCTTTCTATCCTCTGCACTCGTGCGAAGCTCGAACTCACCGAGTTGCTCTTCTCTCCTCGACGTGCCCAAATCGCCTGCATCGACGACGACAAAGCTGTACTGCTGTACAACGCAAGAAGAGACGACTGCAACTCACACTCTGTATGACTTTTCTCCCGCTCACTCAACTCGGCACAATCTTTGCACTCACTCCCAAACCTCGCCGCCACCGTTACCAGCAGTAGTCCTACACCACCACCACTCTGTGCATTGATCATCACTTTAATCAACACTGAGTGAGTTTTCTAAAGCATACCTGGCGGGTGATAGAGAAGCGTCGTCGTCGTCGTCGTTGGTGTGACTGAGCAATCGGTGCTTGACAATTAAAATCATATTGCCGAGTGTGACGAAGTAGCCGAAGAAGTCAAGTTTTGCACCGCCAACGTACGTCTGTTGTGCTCTTCGTCAGTACAAGCCTACTCAAGTTGCAACACTTCTGCTGTTGCTGCTGCTCCTGCCTGCTAGTCGTCCACTAACCCACCATTACCATCAGCTGCTGTTCTTGAGAGGCTACCGTCACCACCAAAGCAACAATGTCCACCCGAGGAGGTGACAATCCAGCTCGCCGACTTTCGTAAGTGTTTTCCGCTTTCTTAGTAATGTTTTGGGCCTGTTTCTAACTGAACCTTTCATCTACTGCACTTTTCCAGGGCCACCGGTGATTCTTTGTACATCATTCTTGGCGTGGAGAAGACGGCGGCGCCGGATGAAATAAAGCGTAGCTATCGACGAGTAAGCAATAGTTGATTGATGATTACTGATTACTGAGGATAAGCATGTTGCTGATAACGATGTTTATGTTCTCCACCTTCCCACCACCACCACCAGCTCGCCCTGAAGTACCACCCGGATAAGAACCCGAACAACCCGGAAGCGGCCGAGAAGTTCAAGGACATCAATCGAGCAAACTCTATTCTCTCTGATGAGCAGAAGCGCAAGCTGTACGACAATTACGGCTCAATGGGCCTGTACCTCGCGGAACAGCTCGGCGAGGAGAACGTTGGCGCCTACTACCTGCTCACCTCGGGCTGGTGCAAGGGCATTCTTCTCACCTGCGGCGTCCTCACCTGCTGCTACTTCTGCTGTTGCTGCTTCTGTTGCTGCTTCAACTTTTGCTGCGGCCGTTGCAAGCCGAAGCAGCCCGACGAGGAGTTTAACTTTAGTGCTGTAAGTACTGTTTTTGTGCTGACAGATGGTCAATGAACAAACTTCATACTTGTTCTCTTCTTTTTTTCAGGACGACATTAA